GACAAGGAACCAATCAGAAGTTAGCTGGTGGCGCTATGCTTTATGGCTCTGGGTGTGCTTTACAGACAAGTGCACAGCAATGACGCACAGAGCATAGCAACCACCCTGGGAGGGCCTATGGGCCATCAACACAGGGCAAACCCTCCAAGCCTGGAGGCACACCAATCCTGAGCCTGTGGGTACCCCTAGACACTCCCCTTACGCTGCCCTATAAGGTCTCTATGCAGTGGCTTCTTGCCGTCTTTCCTAGCCATCTGCCATGGTGGATGGATGGGAGGCCTGCGCTAACAAGGGGTTAGCTCGTTAAACAATTACAATAAAGCCTCGTGCAGTTTGCAACAAGCTTTCGACTCTGCCTGGTGATTGGGGTGACAGCGGTACTGGGCTGAGATCCTGGGGCCCTGAGCCTTCTTTGGACTTTCACTGAGTAGTACTCCATTGTGTAAATGTACCACATTTTCTCTATCCATTCTTCAGTTGAGGGGCATCTAGGTTGCTTCCAGGTTCTGGCTATTAAAAATAATGCTGCTATGAACATAGTTGAACATATGTCCTTATTCTATGGATGTGCATTCTTTGGGTATATGCCCAAGAGAGGAATTGCTAGATCTTGAGGTAGGCTGAGTTCCATTTTCCTGAGAAACTGTCATACTGATTTTCAAAGTGGTGTACACCTTTGCACTCCCACCAGCAATGGAGGAGTGTTCCTCTTTCTCCACATCCTCTCCAGTATAGACTGTTTTTGGTGTTATTGAATTTATCCATTCTGATAGGAGTAAGATGGTATCTCAGAGTGGTTTTGAGCTGCATTTCCCTCATGGCTAAGGATGTTGAGCACTTTCTCAAGTGTCTTTCAGCTATTTTAGTTTCTTCTGTTGACAATTCTCTATTTAGTTCTGCACTCCACTTTTTAATTGCATTGTTTGGTGTTTGAGGGACTAGCTGCTTGAGTTCATTGTATGTTTTGGTGATCAGCCCTCTGTCAGATGTGGGGTTGGTGAATATATTTTCCCATTCTGTGGGCTGGTGTTTTGTCTTGTTGTGTCCTTTGCCATGGCAACTCTGATAAACTTGGGGACTTACAAATTGTAAGCAACTCTTGGGGCTGGCTTACAATTCAGAGATTTAGTCCATTATCCTCATGGTGGGAAGCATAGGCATACATGATAGCTGAGTGTTCTACATCTGGATCTGAAGGCATCAGAAAGAGAGAGAGCCACTAGGCCTGGCTTGGGCTTCTGAAACCCAAAAGCCCACTCCTAGTGACAATTTCCTCCAACAAGGCCACACTACTCAACAATAATAGCACACCTACTCTAACAAGGCTACATCTCCTAATCCTTTCAAATAGTGCCACTCCCTAAGCATTCAAATCTATGAGCCTATGGGGGAGCCATTCTTATTCAAACCACCACATTCCACGGGCTTAGAGTCATAACATAATGCAGAAATGCACTCACTTCAACCTCAAAAATCCCCAAAATCTCTAACAGTCTTAACTCTGTGTAAAAGTTCAAAGTCTCTTCTGAGACACATGCAAACTCTTTTTTTTATTTTAAAATACATTTATTTATTTGGGGATGTACCAGTGCCATACCACATGTGTAGATATCATAGAACAACATGAGGGAGCTGGTTCACTTTACATCATTGTGGGTCCTAGGAATTGAACTCCTGTCATTAGGCTTGGTGGGAAACACTTTTCCCTACTGAGCTATTCTTACTGACCCTGTGAATGTATCTTAAAAACATATCAAACAAAAGCAAATGACTGAAAAGGTGACTGGGTAGTTAAAAGTACTTGCTGTTCTTACAGAGGTCCTGGGTTCAATTTCCAGAATCTATCTGGCATAGCAGCTAACAATTATATGTAGCTCCATTTCTAGAAGATTCCAATGTCCTCTTCTGGCCTCCATGGGCACTGCTCTTATATGATGTACAAACATACATGCAAGCAAAACATCCATATATATAAGATTTTTAAAAATCTTTAAGACTACGAGCTCATATTATAGATGTTAAATAGAAAGAGTTAAGTACCAATAAGTGAGTAAATGTCAATTATTACATGTTTTAAGGCTAATTAATCAATTATGAACTCCATATTTTTAAACACAAATGCCTTGAAAAGGTTCTTAGATCATGATATTCAGGGGAATAAATGTTTACAAAATATATTATTAAATAAATTAATTCCAAATAATATGAGAAAATTTCTTTTTTACCCTCCATTTTTTTATTTGAATTAGAAAGAAGATTGTTTTACATGGCAATCCTATAGCCTTCATCCAGCAGCTGATGGAAGTAGAAGTAGACACCTGTTAGACCCCTGGAAAACTCAGGTATCCGGGGTCCCAGGCCACGACTGCAGTCCCCCAATCACCAGGCGGACTCGAGAGCTTGCTGCAAACTGCATGAGGCTTTATTGTAATTTAACAAGCTAACCCCATGTTAGCTCGGGTCTTTCACCCACCCACCATGGTGGATGGCTCGCAAAAGACAGCTCCTAGGGCCTCCCAAGAGATCTTATAGGACAGCGTAAGGGGAGTGTCTAGGGGTACACACAGGCTCATGATTGGTGTGCCTCCAGGCTTGGAGGGCTTGCCCTGTGTTGATTGGCCAACTGGTTGTTATGGCCCATAGGCCCTCCCAGGGTGGTTGCTATGCTTTGTGCATCATTGCTGTGCGCTTGTCCATAAAGCACACCCAGGTTCGTAAAGCATAGTGCCACCAGCTAACTTCTGATTGGTTCCTTGTCACGAGGCAGGCATCTGACTTTCTAGTGACTAACTAACTTCTGATTGGTTCCTTGTCACGAGACAGGCATCTGACTTTCTAGTGACTAACTAACTTCTGATTGGTTCCTTGTCACAAGGCAGGCATCTGACCTCTAAATGACCAAGGCAAGTTTATGGCAAGCACGTGTTCGGCTGTTATGGGCTGCTGAAAGGGGAGCTGGTCCCTTCACACCCACAGCTAAACACTGAACTGAACTGGAATCCAGTTGCAGAGGAGGAGTGATGAGCAAAGGGGTCAAGACCAGGCTGGTGAAACCCACAGAAACAGCTGACCTGAGCAAGGGGGAGCTCTTGGTCTCCAGACTGATAGCTGGGAAACCAGCAAGGGACTGAACCAGACCTCATGAACGTGGGTGTCAGTGAGGAGACCTCGGAAATCTATTGGGCCCCTTGTAGTATATTAATAGTTATCCCTAGCATAGGAATGGACTTTGGGAGCCCATCCCATATATAGGGATACTCCCTGAGCCTAGACACATGGAGGGTGGGCCTTGGCCCTATCCTAAAGGATATGACAGACTCTGAAGACCCCCTATGGAAGGCCTCACTCTCCTTGGGGAGCAGAAAGGGGATGGGAAAGATAGGGTGTTAGTTGAGGGAGGCAGGAGAAGAGGGGAGGGAGGGGGAACTGGATTGACATATAAAACAATCTTGTTTCTAATTCAAATAAAAAATGGAGGAAAAAAACAGAAAGACTCTGGGCTTGGCACGGATATTTGAAACCTCAAAGCCCACCCCCAGTGACACGCTTCCTTCAATAAATCCACAACTCCTAACCCTTCTAATCATTTCAAATAATGTCACTCCCTGATGACTAAGCATTCCAGTACAGGGGCCTGTTGGGCCATTCTTATTCAAAACACCATAATTCCATTTATCAGATGTATTGCCAAACGGCCACTGTGTAAAGAGATACCCTACTATCTCCTCTAGGATAAAGCTTTAGTCTTTATGGCCCCAGAGACACCTCAATGCCCATTCCCTCAAATTTTTTCCAATCCATTAAATTTAAGGAGCTCCAGATTCATACATATTAAAACACCCCACATCCCTCCAGCAGAGTGACAGCTGGTCTTATATTCTTGGAGATTCCAGCTCTCTTCTCTCTGTTACTTTCTGAATTAGTCCAGAAACAGCACTACAATTCCCTCAGTTTAGGAAATCCAGTCTTCTTCAGCATACCCAAGCCATATCCCTTACTTAATCATTGAAAATATTCAGGGAGACCATTCCTCCTTTGGAAATCACAACACCAACTTTACTTCAGAACATGTCACCAAAAAAGCTATGTGGCAGGACACTTTAGCATAGTGTTACTGTTATTCAGTTACCTAGTTCTGAGGCAGGGGCATCCTTTGAGATCAATGTTTCTCTGTCAACTTGACATCATAGCCATATCCTGCCTCAAAGTGAAAATTGAGTCCTGAGCACTCTGTGGTAGCTTACACCCTCCTGTGACTCCAGCTCCAGAAGATCCAATTCATTTTTTGGCCAACTTAGGCACCAGCAGACATGTGAATACAGAGTCATTTGCATGCATTTACAAAAAAAGCAAAGTTTAATAGAGCTGGGTATGATGACACACTCCTTTAATATTAGCACTCCGGAGGCAGAGAAGGTGGATATCTGTGATTTCCAGGCCTGCCTGGTCTACATAGTGAGTTCCAGAACAGCCAGGACCACATAGAGAGATCTATCTCAAAAAATAGTTTAATACAATTTTTACAAGAGGGTTACTGAGTAAGAAAATGTTTACTGACAAACAAATACCCAGTGAGTAGAATCTTGACCTAATGACTATAAAGGGACAAAAACAACCCACCGTAAATGTCTGAGGATCCCTTTCAAACAATTAAAAAACTGGCAGTATAAGGGGAATTAATTGTGGAAGTGATGGGGAGAAGGAGAAAAACGAAGGATGATGGTAGATGAAATATGACAAAACCGTAAGTATATACACTTATGAAAAGATCATGAAGAAAGACAACCTTTTGGGTTAATAACCACACAAAAATAATTTAAAGAATACATTTGTTTAAGGAATACATTTTTTAACTAAGGAGACAGAGGCAGGAGATGCCTATGATTTCAAGGCCAGCCTAGCCTACACAGCAAGTTCCTTGCAAGCCAAGTTTGAGATAGAAAGGCCCTGTCTCAAACAAATTTTTTAAAAAATACATTTTAAAAGAAAAACATCTTCACTTGATAAACTGAATGGAGTTTTATTTTATAAAATTAATTTTTTTCTCTGCTTTCTGAGAAATGAATAGCTTTTGATGCACAAAGATACAATATTCGCACATTGCTAACCTTCTAATGCAGACATGTTTGTTTTCAGTTTGCTTAACTTTTTTCTGAAACCAAACCTCTTATATTTAGCCCAGGATATCTTTAAAAAGCCCTCCCTCCAACCTGAGCATCCCAAGTGCTATGAATACAAGTTTGCCCCACCAAACTTGGGTCCCTAAGAAGATTTCTTCTGACATTGTTCACAGTTTATTTTAATACACAAGTAATACTGCACATTCTATTAGAATACAGTGCAATGGTTCCTAATAGGTATATGTGTGTGCTCAGCAAATGTGTATAATTCATATTTCTCTGTCTTTAAATACTTATCCTATCCACATGTTTGATGAGGCCTTCTTGTTTATCTGTAACCCAGGCAGGTAGCACACACCTTTGTCCAGGATCTGTATTTCAGGCAGAGTGCAGGATCTGTATCCCAGGCAGGTAGTACACACCTGTGTTCATATCTGTAACCAGGATCTGTGTCCCAGGCAGGGAGTCCAAGATCTGTATCCCAAGCATGTAGTACACACCTGTGTCCAGGATCTTTATCCAGGATCTGTATCCCTGGCAGGGAGTCCAGGATCTGTATCCAAGGCAGGGAGTACACACCTGTATCCAGCCTCTGTATCCCAGACAGGTAGTACACACCTATGTCCAGGATCTGTAACCCAGGCAGGTGATACACACCTGTATCCAGGATGTGTATCTCAGGCAGGTAGGACAGGATTTGTATCCAGGCAGGGAGTCCATTATCTGTATCCCTGGCAGGTGGTATACTAGGATCTGTATCCCAGGATCTGTATCCAGGCAATTAGTACACACCTTTGTGCAGGATCTGTATCCCAGGTGGTACACAGCTGTATCCAGGATCTGTATCCCATTCAGGTTTTCCAGGATCTGTATCCAAACAGATAGTCCAAGATCTGTATCCCGGCAGGCAGTACACAGGTGTGTCCAGGATCTGTATCCCAGGCAGGTGGTACACACCTGTGTCCAGGATCTGTATCCATGCATGGAGTACACATCTGTTTCCAGGATTTGTATCCCAGGCAGGGAGTAGACTCCTTTACCCAGAATCTGTATCCCAGGCAGGGAGTACACACCTGTATCCCAGGATCTGTATCCAGGCAGAGATTACACACCTGTATCCAGTATCTGTAACCCAGGCAGGTAGTACACACCTGTGTCCAGGATCTGTAACCCAGGCAGGTAGTACACACCTGTGTCTAGGATCTGTATCCCAGGCAGGGAGTAGACACCTGTGTCCAGGATCTGTAACCCAGGCAGGCAGTGCACACCTGTGTCCAGGATCTGTATCTCAGGCAGGTAGTCCACACCTATGCCTGGTATCTGGAGGGTGAATCGAAAATAACCTAATTGGGAGTGAAGAGATAGCTTAGTGTTTAAGAACAAACACTGCTTGTGCCAGGCTTTTTCTTTTGGCCCAACAACCATCTCCCAAATCATGATGAAGATACTTATCATTAGTCATGAATGCTTGAGCTACCTTATCTTTCTTTCTGCCTAGCTCTTTTAATTTAACTTAACCTGTTTCTCTTTATCTACTTTTGCCTTAGGGCTTTTTGCTTGTCTTTCCTTTGGTTTATCTTCCTTTTACTGCTTCTCTGTCTGGTGGCTGCCTTGCTGGCTTCTGGCCCTGGGCTTGTCCCTCTATTTCTCTTCATTCTCTTTTTTCTTCTCTCATTCTCTCCAAAGCCTAGATTTCTCTTCCTACTTATTCTCTCTGCCTGCCAACCCTGCCTATCCTTTCTCTGCCTAGCTTTTGGACATTTACCTGTTTATTAGACCAGTCAGGTGCTGGCAAGGTGAAACAAATGAAACACGTCTTGTCATAATTAAACACACACCTTTGCATCATTAAACAAATGCAGCATAAACACAAGTGACATATCTTTGCCTAATTAAAGTAATATTCCACAACAAACGATCTTGCAGAGAACCCTGGTTTGGCTGCAGCACCCATATCAGATGGTTCACAAAGGTCTGTAATTCTAGTTCCACAGAATCCAGCACCCTCTGTTCTCCCTGGGCACCTACAGGCATGTGGTGCACATAAATTCACACAGACACACAAATGTACATAAAAGAAATAAATAGGGGCTGGAGAGATGGCTCATTGTTTAAGAGCATTGACTGCTTTTCCAAAGGACCTGGGTTCAATTCCTAGCACCCACATGGCAGCCAATTAGTGTCTGTAACTCCAAGACCTGACACGCTTATACAGACATACATGCAGGCAAAACACCAATGCCAATAAAATATTTAAAAAAGAAAGAAATGTTTTTAAAAATGTGAGCCGGGCGCTGATGGTATACACCTTAATCCCAGCACTTGGGAGTCAAGAGTCTGTGAGTTCGAGGCCATCCTGGGCTACAAAGCCACACAGAGAAACTTTGTCTCAAAAAAACAAAACAAAATGTGTTTTGTAATACTATTACAAGAAAAACAAAACAGGTTTGCTCCCTACTAAACCCAGTAAAATTTGACCTTACTAGTTTTATTGAGTACCTCTTCCCTGACTCGTAAGCATATACCAGTCCTAGGAATCTCTATACTGATTCCTTAATAGCCTAAAGCAGAGGCTGCTCTTCTCAATGGGGTCACTTACTTGTAAATCAGGTCTGAGCAACACTAGCCCAGTAGCTAGTCTTCTAAGAGAAATCTCTTATTGAGAGCTGGTGTATAAAATATTGATCAATGTTTTCAAATTTCTATTAAAATTTTTTCTCTAGGATTTTTCACCTCCATTTTATAAAACTTACCAATTTTCAAAGGGGAATGTGAACTTTTCTTAGAGATATAAGTGGGCAAAGCAGCTGGGAGTTGGTGGCACACAGCTTTAATCCCAGCACTTGGGAGGCAGAAGCAGGCGGATCTCTGTGAGTTCGATTCCAGCCTGGTCTCCAGAGCGAGTGCCAGGATAGGCTCCAAAGCTATACAAAGAAACCCTGTCTCGAAAAACAAAACAAATAAGTGGGCACAGCAGAAACTAGCATAACTGTCCCAGGTAGCTTGCTGTGTTTAACTTCCCAGTCACTGTTGTCTCTCACACTACAATATACTCCTTGTCAGTGACTATATTGTTATCAGATTTCTGTTAAAATTAAGATAATCATCAAGAGCCCAACACTGGCAACCTTTTTCTTCCTTATCTTAGAATAATACAAACATTTTTGTTTTGTTTTGTTTTTCGAGACAGGGTTTCTCTGTGGTTTTGGAGGTTGTCCTGGAACTAGCTCTTGTAGACCAGGCACAAACATTTCTTAAGAGTCAATGCTTAGTCAGGCAGTGGTGGCGCACATCTTTAATCCCAGCACTCAGGAGGCAGAGGCAGGCGGATCTCTGTGAGTTTGAGGCCAGCCTGGTCTACAGAGTGAGTTCCAGGACAGCCTCCAAAACAATACATAGAAACCCTGTCTTGAAAAAAAAGTGCTTAATTGGAATCTAGAAAAAAAAATCTTTCACCATAAACCATTGAGTGTGGGTAAATAATAAAGCCACCAATGTTAAGCAGAAGTGTAGATTGGCGATAAAGCTGACATATCTGCCCTACTAAAAGCCCTGTTTCCAATTCTTGCCTCAAAACAAAGTAAGCTAATAGCTCTGTGAAACAATTCCCCGGGGGTGTCGTTACTGCAGCTCCAGCTCACAGGGGCCTTGGAAGGTGAACACAATCATCTCTCATCCTTCCTTCCATAGATGAGATCTGGTGACGCAAACCAACATGAATCATCTTGCCAGGGAATTGGCATGGGCATAGAAACTGGTTTTGGAGTTCAGTGTGACTTCAGGAATGCTATGGGGAACAGGAGAAGATGGTGTAGTAAGGACAACTGACTGTGCCTCTAGTTCAGTCCAACTCTCGGGGAATAGGACAATGGGCCATTTTCCAAGATGAGGTGTCGTTGGAGAGGTGACTGAAGGTGAGAAAACCCAGAAATAAATAGTAATGGCAGGAAAAGAGGCCTCTCCAGGATTCACAGGAGATATTGTATCAAAAAGGGGGGGTCCAGGGAGATGTGTGGGCTATCAATTTATTCTCCATGGAAACAGAGCAGAGTTGGGAAGATTTGCTTTTTCTCTCTTCCTGTGAAGACATGGTCACGTTTGGATCTTCAATCACAAGAGATAAACACAGAAAAGGGGGACTCACAGATCCTTGCCAGGACTGGAATATTTTTGGTTTGGTTTTGTTTTTCGAGACAGGGTTTCTCTGTGTAGCTTTGGAGCCTATCCTGGCACTGGAGACCAGGCTGGCCTCGAACTCACAGAGATCCGCCTGCCTCTGCCTCCCGAGTGCTGGGATTAAAGGTGTGCACCACCAACACCTGGCTTAGGACTGGAAATATTATTACTAGGTTCCTTCCAAAAGATAGAGTTCCCTACACTATTCCTTCTTCTTCTCCTCCTCCCCACCTACATTCCCCTCTCTTTTTGCCTCCTTTGGACTAATCCAAATTCTGAAATGCAGAAAGAATCTGGTTTTGCCTAGCTGTTCTCTCCCATCAAACCTTATGCCTAGTGCAAACCAATGTTTTTCTGATAAGAATACAACTTTCATATTTTCCCTACATTCCTAATTTTGATTATTAACAAGTATTTTTGTGTGTTTGCAGGAATTGAATTCAGGTCATCCCACAGGCTAGACAGTCTAGCATTGAGTCTCACTATGTTGCTTTTTAAAAAAAAAATTATCAGTGGAACCAAACACCTGAACGAAACAGCATAAGGAAAGTAATATCTATTTTCAGACATCAATATCAAACTGTCTGTAACTCCAGCTCCAGGGAATCCAATGCCCTTTCTGGACTCCTAAGGGAGTTTATATTCATGTGCATATACCCCCCACACACAAAAACATATGCATCTAACTAAAATATAATGAAAACCAAAATTTGCTGAGACTATTGATACGAACCTCTTCCTTTGCCTCTAGGAAGGTGGATTTTTGTGAGTTCAAAACCAACCAAATCTACATAGAGGCTTTCAGACTAGCCAAAGATACATAGGGAGACGTCTCAAAACTGGATTTTACAAACAAAAAAAAAATTTTTAAGGGGAGCTTGTATGTCCTCGGGGCTGAGTATTTGGTATTGGATGACCAATCAGTGTACTCTTCCCTGGAGAAAACTGATTTCTCCCATTCTCAGTATTCCTAAGTTACCTGTAGTTCCCTAGGTGGGATTGAAGCCTCTGGGCTTTTCCCCATGCACTATAGCATGTCTTTTGATGCTGTTGAGCTTCTGTTGAGATAGTCACATTGGTGAGACTTTATGGATGTAACAGATGTAGCTTCTGACACTGCTAGGAGGCATTTTACAAACTGAACAGATTGTACATACAGTAAAGTCCAAGGAAACACTGAAAGAGGCCTTAGACTCAAATAGTATGCAAAGGCAAAGAGTGTTTATTAATATTCCGGCAAGCATGAAGGGTCAACACCTGTACAAAATGGCAACAATCCGAGAGGATTGTGCAGGCTCCTTTTAAGCACAGCTAAGGGGGGTTTCCGGGACAGTTGGGTCATCTCAAACATAATTGGTTGAGCAAGCAGCAGTTACACTAGTATAATTTTGATTGGCTGAGGTTTAGTCTTTTCAATTTTAGACATACTTGCACAAGATTGGGGAAGTCCAGACATGACTCAGAAAGGGCTGCTGGATTTGTCCCTGAGACATTGTGTGGCTGACTTAGGCCTTGTGTTTATTCTCCCCCTCGTCCCTGAATGCAAGGGCATTGTGGATAAATAGCCCTTTGCTGCAAGAGACACCTGTTTTGCCCTTCTCAGAGAACTGAAACCTAAATTCAATTGTGAGAGTGTGTGAGTTTAGCCCCTTCAATATGCATCAACAATTAATTAACAAAAGAGACCATGGAAATGGAAAATATTATATTAAGTGACATAATCAAGGCTCAGAAAAACAAATACTGGGGCTGGGTATATGGCTCAGTACTTAAGAACACATAATGCTTTTCCCAAGGACCTGAATTTGATACCCAGCAGCTACATTTGGCAACTTACAAATGTCCTATAATTCCAGCTCCAGGGGATCTGCCTGTAACCTCTGAAGGCATGTACAGCCACATGGACATACAGACACACAGACATGTAATTAAAACTATAAGAATAAATTGGACTGTAGTGATTCATATCTTTAATCCCAGCACTCAGGAGACAGAGGCAGTCAGAACTCTATGAGTTTGAGGCCAGCCTGGTCTACAAGTGATTTCCAGGACAGGAAAGAAAGGAGAAACCTTTACATGGAAAAACCCTGTCTCAAAGAAAGAAAGAAAGAAAGAAAGAAATAAAGAAAGAAAGAAAGAAAGAAAGAAAGAAAGAAAGAAAGAAAGA